TCTGCTGTTGCCAGATTGCCTCTCTAGATTGCTTCTCTCTGGGCATGTCATCTCAGAAAGAGAGGCAGCATCTCCAGTTAGGGGTTTATAGATAAAACTCCCATCTCTCTGGGACAGAGTACTTGGGGGAAAGGGTGGTTGTGGGCTCAGCTTTAGCAGACTTAAACATTTCTGCCTGCTGGGTCTGAAGAGAACATTGGACCTCCCAGCACAGCACTTGAGCTCTGCTAAGGGACAGACTACCTCCTCAAGTGGGTCCCTGGCCCCCATGCCTCCTGACTGGGAGATACCTCCAAGCAAGGGTTGACAGATATCTCACACTGGAGAGCTCTGGCTGGCATCTGGTGGGTTCCCCTCTGGGATGAAGCTTCCAGAGGAAGGAACAGGCAGCAATCTTTGCTGTTCTGCAGCCTATGCTGGTGATACCCAAGCAAACAGGGTCTGGAGTGGACCTCCAGCAAGCTCCAGCAGACCTGCAGCAGAGGAGCCTGACTGTTAGAAGGAAACCTAACAAACGGAAAAGAGTAGCACCAACATCAACAAAAAGAACATCCACACAGAAACCTCATTTGAAGGTCACCAACATCAAAGGCCAAAGGTAGATAAATTCACGAAGATGAGGAAAAACCAGCACAAAAAGGCTGAAAATCCCAAAAACCAGAACGCCTCTTCTCCTCCAAAGGATCACAACTCCTCACCAGAAAGGGAACAAAACTGGACCAAGAAAGAGTTTGACAAATTGACAGAAGTAGGCTTCAGAAGGTGGACTAGAATAACTCTCGGTAAATTGGGATAAAAAGAAACTTTCTCAACTTAAAGAATATCTACAGAATAAAGCAGAAGCAGGAGACGAACAAAGATGAGAGTCCTCACCTAGTTCACCTACTTCAACTTGCCAATTCCATAGTTTCTGAGAGCAACGTGCATTCCTTCCCTTTCGCTCTGTAGAATTTTTTGCAATCACAATTGTTTTAACCTATTTCAAATTATGTTTTTGAATAGTTGCTATATTATGGTTTTTAAAAAATAAAAGAAAGAAAATGGAATACTATGAAGAATTCTATGCCCACAAATTTGGTAATACAGATGAAATAAACCAATTTGTTAAAAGACAAAACCTGGGCCGGGCGCGGTGGCTCACGCCTGTAATCCCAGCACTTTGGGAGGCCGAGGCGGGTGGATCACGAGGTCAAGAGATCGAGACTATTCTGGTCAACATGGTGAAACCCTGTCTCTACTAAAAATACAAAATAAAAATAAAAATAAAAATAAAATTAGCTGGGCATGGTGGCACGTGTCTGTAATCCCAGCTACTCAGGAGGCTGAGGCAGGAGAATTGCTTGAACCCAGGAGGCGGAGGTTGCGGTGAGCCAAGATCGCGCATTGCACTCCAGCCTGGGTAACAAGAGCGAAACTCCGTCTCAAAAAAAAAAAAAAAAAAAAAAAAAAGACAAAACCTGCCAAAACAATTTGGCCATTTAAACAGGACTCTATCTATTAATTAAACTGAAGGAGAAAGAGGTAAATTAAACAGAACTATATCTATTAAATAAATTAAATCAATAATTAATAAACTTTCAGAACATTTAGCACTAGGCCTAGATGGGTTCAGTGATCAATTTTGTTAAATATTTAAGGAAGAAATTATACCAATTCTTATAATCTCTTTCAGAAACCGAAGTGGAGGGAATGCTTCCTAGCTCATTCTGTAAGGTTGACATTATCCTAATACCTAAACCAGACAAAAGCATTACTAAAAAAGAACACGACAGACCAGTATCTCTCATAGACATACATCTTAAAATCATCAGTAAAATATTAGCAAATCAAATCCAAGAAGGTATTAAAAGAATTATATTTCATGACCAAATAGAGTTTATTCCAGATATGCATGGCTGGCTCAAAATTCAAAAATTAATTAATATCATCCATCACATCAGTAGGCTAAATGAAAAAAAATGATCATTTCAATCGATACAGAAAAAGCATTTGACAAAATTTAACACTCATTTATGAGTTTTTAAAAACTCTCAGTAAACTGGGATAAAAAGAAACTTTCTCGACTTAAAGAATATCTACAAGAAACTCTATAGCTAACATCATAATTAATGCTGAAAGCTTTCTCACTGTGATCAGAAACAAGGCAGGGATGACTATTTTCACCACTGCTTTTCAACTGGAATTTCTAACCAATGCAATGACAAGAAAAAAAAAAAAATAAATGGATCAAGATTGGTAATGAAGGAATAAAATTGTCTTTGTTCATACATGACATAATTATCTATGTAAAGCATCTGAAAGAATTAACAAAAAAAAAAAATAAGGAATTAGTTTTGTATGTTAACCTTGTATTTTACAAGTCAATCACTTTCCTATAAGCCAGCAGTGAACAAGTGGAATTTGAAATTAAAAACACGATACCATTTATATTAGCATCCACAAAGTGAAATACTTAGGTATAAGTCTAACAAAATATGTGCAACATCTATATGAAGAAAACGATGAAACTCTGATGAAAAAGAACCAAAGAAAATCGAAGTAAATGGAGAGAGACCTTGTGTTTGCAGCTAGGGTGAATCAATATTATCAAAATGCCAGTTTTTCCCACTTGATCTATGGATTCAACACAATCCCCATCATAATCTCAGCACGTTATTTTATGGATATAAACAAACTGATTTTTAAGTTTATCTAGAGACGCAAAAACCTCAGAATAGTCAACACATTGAAGGAGAACAAAGTTGGGGGCGTGACACTATCCAACTTCAAGATTTACTATAAAGCTACAATAATCAAGACAGCGTGGTATTAGCAAAAGAATACATAGATAAGTAAATGAAACCAAATAGAGAGCTTAGAAATAGACTTACGTAAATATTATATTTGGCAAATTAGCAAAGGCAATACATTGGAGTCTTTTGAACAAATGATATTGGAACAACTGGACATCCATATGCAAAAATAAATTGAATCTAGATAAAGATCTCACACCTTTCACAAAAATGTACTCAAAATGAATCAGTGACCTAAATATAAAATGCAAAATTAAAAAAAAAAATCCTAAAAGGTAACATAAGAGAAAGTCTAAATGACCTTTGGTTTGGCAGTGATATTTTAGCTATCACAGTAAAGGCATAATCCATGAAATAAAGAATTAATAAGCTGGAATTCAGAAAAATTAAAAATTTCTACTCTGCAAAAGACACTGTCAAGAGAATGAAAAGACAAGCTACATACTAGAAAAAAAAACACAGTCATTCTTGTTACAAATGGGGGATTGGTTCAATCACCCCATGGATACCAAAATCCACAGATGCTCATATACCTTGTATAAAATGGCTTAGTATTTGCATATAACCACCTGTATTCTTTAAATCAACTCTACATTACTTATAATACCTAATACAACGCCTGTATATCACTACATCCAGAGGATTCAATGTAGTATGGCAAATTCAAGTTTTGCTTTTTAGAAGTTTGTGGAATTCTTTCCAAATATTTCCAATCTATGATTGGTTGATTTGAAACCCATGGATAAAGAGGGCCAACTGTATTAGCAAAATATGTATTCAATAAAAGACTGTTACCCAAAACACATAAAGAACTCTTAAAAGTCAGCAATATGCAAGGAAACAACCAGATTAAAAAACAGGTTAAAAATCTTGACAGACACTTTACCAAAGAAGACATACATGGAAAATGTATCTATGTATGGAAAATAAGCATATGAAAAGATGCTCTACACCATATATCATCAAAGAAAGGCAAATTAAAACAACAGTGAGAACCACTACACACCAAAGGCGAGGAGTGGAGCAACAGGTACTTTCATTAATTACTAGCAGGAAATTAAAGTGGTACCTCTACTTTGAAATACAGTTTGGCAGTTTCTTACAAAACTAAGCAATCTCTTACCATGCGATCCAATCATGTTTTTTCCTATTTACCCAAAGAGTTAAAAACTTACATTCATACAAAAACCTGTGCATGGATGTTAATTGCAGCTTTTTTTATAATTGCTAAAACTTGATAGCAGCCAAGATGTTTTTTTAGCAGGCAAATACATAAATAAACTGTGGTCTAGTCAAACAATGGAATATTATTCAGTACTAAACAAATGAACCATTAAGACATGAAAAGTCATGGGGACACTTAAATGCATATTTTAAAGTGAAAAAAGCCAATCTGAAAATGCTGTATGCTGTAACATTCCAATGATATAACACTTTGGAAAAGACACAGCTATGGAGACAGGATATCAGTATTGCCTGTAGTTAGCTGGCAGGGAAGGATGAATAAGTAAAACAGAGAGGATTTTTAGGGCAGTGAAATTAGTCTGTAAAATGCTATCATGGTGGAGATATGTCATCATATATTTGCCAGAAAACATTAAATCCAATCCTAAGCATGGCCCCTAATGCAAACATTGGACTTTGGGTGATAATGCTGGTGTTTCAATGTAGGTTCCTTAATTCTAACAAATGTACCACTCTAGTCAGGTATGTTGATAATGGGGGAGACCTTGCATGTGTGGGAGCAGAGGTTACATGGAAAATCTCTGTACTTTCCACTAAATTTTGCTATGATCCTAACACTTCTCTAAAAAATAAAGTCTATTAACTTTTCTGTTTCATTGTTAATTATAATGGCAAACAAAAATTTTGGAGACAATCGGGTTGAGAGAGGATGTGGAAAATATATCATTGACACCCATTAAGAAATGCTTAGTAACAAGTGCTCTGGGATAATAATCTAGGTTTCAAAAGTTGAATAAAAAATTTTTGAATAGACCATGGGTTTGTTTAGTGATCCCATTCTTAAAATAGGTACTCAATAAGCATAGGAATAATTTCAGAATGAAAAATGTATCAACACTCTTAAATATAATATCATTTAGATAATACAGATAATGTATGAGACAATTCAAGATCTAAAATGTAAACCCTATATGGACATCAAGCACTCCCCTACTAGAATTATCATTAAAAGATGCACACTACCTAAAGTGAGATTCTCCTTGCTATTCTGCAGTATTAATGAGTTGTTTGGTCGAGCAGCACCCTCTGCTTCTGAATGTATGCATTCTGAAAAAGACATGGGGATAGAGAGAGAAATATGCATTAATAGATCTGACTCCTAGTTAAAATCATATTTTTTCACATTCTTCAGACTATTTTTGTATTGCAGATGCCAATGAATATCTAAATTATGACAGCTAAGCAAAAGTCTCGGCACAATGTGTCCCAGTATGAACTTTTGACTTGCTCTTCCTCACTGATTGGCATAGTCCTGCTTTAAGCCCAGCATACCCATCGTCCCCCTCTTGCTTTATATGCAAGTCTTCTTCCAGGCTTATATGCATTTAGTCTATCTCTGAGTGTGGAAGAAAATGATTTACTGTCTTTTACAGGCTTTTCAAGCACCAATGAGAAGGTAGAAAAAGTTTAGTGGTGACGTATTGATTGGATGCTGGTATGAAACAAAAGGATTTTCCTAAGCATCATTGAAATCACATCACAGTCTCTGATGGGAAAAAGGTCCCCAAACTTTTTGGCACCAAGGATCCATTTGAGGAAGATAATTTTTCCACAGACAAGGGGAAAGGGAGAGCAGTGGTTCCTGGATGAAACTGTTTCACCTCCGATCATCAGGCATAAGTTAGTTTCTCATAAGGAATGCACAACCTAGATTCCTGGCACGCACAGTTCAAAACAGGGCTCATGCTCCTATGAGAATCAAATGCCTCCAACTGATCTGACAAGAGGTGGATTCAGGCCACAATTCTTACTCACCTGCCACATGCCTCCTGCTGTGCAGCACAGTCCCTAACAGGCCCCGTGGTTGGAGACTGGTGATATAGACAATGGCCTATTAAGTTTACATTTTTGTCAGCCAAGCTCTTAGTGGGAATTGGTAGTACACATCTTTTAAGAAGCAGTTATTGGCAAAGTACTCTGCTAGGCGCAGAGATATCATAATAAACAATACCCCCTTTTTTCCAGGAGTTTAAGATCCAGGAGAGACAGCAGTTAGGGAAACAATTATAATGTAAAGTTTTCAGTGCAGTGATCAAAGTTGCATGTGATGTACAGAAGTTTAAAAGAAGAGATGTTTAAATTCCAGGAAAACAGGAGTAAGAGATTAGAAAAAACTTTCCTATACTGAGTAATGTTTTAGCTGGATCTAAGTACATGAGGAGTTTTCCAAGAAAATAGAAGGGAAAATGTGAACAAAAATAATGGCATTTGAAGAAGGTACAAAGCCAAATAAAAATTTACAAGAGTTATAAATAGTTTAGTATTGCCATGAAGTGAGAAAACCTGGATGTGTAATTGGAGTTGAGGCTGGCTATCAGCAGGCTCTAACTGTGCAAGGCACAAAGCTCCTAGAAAGTGTTCACAAGGAAAAGGTAACGCCCGTAGCTTATCTATAGTGAGTGTATCTGACTAGCAAAGAGAAACATTTTAGAGTAAAATTTAAGGCTCAGTGTTATTCTGGAAATTTTTTTTAATCTAGTGCCCCTCTCAGCTGCCATTTTCTTTAACAAACTGTTCTTTTAAGATAATAATTTGTTGAATGAGTAGAGTAGGAATAGAGTTTGGGTAATTTGCTTATGTTCTTTATTTCCATCTCTCTATGACTAGCAGATATTATTATTCTTATTTTACAGATAAAGAAATGTAGATTAAGTGATTAAACAATTTGACCAAGACTACCTGGCTAGTAAGCTGCTTCGGTTGCCCAATTATAAATCTTTTACTTGCACTTACATCAGTAGAAATCACAGGCTAGACCATAAGAAATAGGCTAGGATATATACACAACCCAAATTAACCCAAATCGAAGTGAGTCTAAGCCATGTTACTGCAAGAGCACTGAGAGACAAACTTTTAAAAGAGCAGATCGAATGGCAAGTCCATAAAATCAGGATTACCAAGACATCTGGACACAGACAGTATGAATTCTGGATCTGAATGGGATTGGTTAAGTTAGGGAAGAGACAATTGTCAGAATTCATGGGCTTAGAATAGAGGCTTGCACAGTTCCCTGATACATGGCTGGATCAAGCTGGATTAAAAATAAAGGTCAACCCAAACCTATAGTGAACCAGACTAAACATATGGACAGAGAGTTTATGGGAAAAGAAGTAAAAATGTCTCTTAGTCATATGAAAAGATATTCCACATTAATCATGGTAAGAGGAATGCAAATTAAAAGTATTTGGAAATACCATTTCTCATCTCTAACTGGCAAAATCCAACAGTTTAATAACATACACTGTTGGGTGAGGTTGTGGAGAGATAGGTATGTCTATTTGTTGGTATTGTTCAATTTTTTAGTGAGGAAGAAAGGAGATATAGATGTAAAATAAGTAAGTTTAAAGCACTTCGGGAAGCTGAGGTGGGCAGATCATGAGGTCAGGAGATCAAGACCATCCTGGTTAACACGGTGAAACCCCATCTCTACTAAAAATACAAAAAATTAGCTGGGCATGGTGGCAGGCATCTGTAGTCCCTGCTACTTGGGAGTCTGAGGCAGAAGAATCACTTGAACCCAGGCGGCAGGGTTTCAGTGAGCTGAGATCAGGCCACTGCACTCCAGTCTGGGCGACAGAGCAAGACTCTGTCTCAAAACAAACAAACAACAGCAACAAAAAAAACCTCAGTCCTAAATTTTAATCAAAAGTGTCAATATCAACTCATGATGCATTTTTATCTTTCAAAATACATATATCTTATCTCCTGCTATGTTGAGGGATAATTCATTACATAGTTATAAACAACTAATGTAGTTATCAACCACATTGACCTCATTGATATTTTTAGAACCTAACCCAACATCTGCAGAATACATTTTTTGCAAGTGCACATCGTATATTCACTGAGTTTGACCACATTCTGTGCCACAAAACAAGTCTCAAAAAGTTTAAGAAAGTGAAGTCATATAAAAGATGTTCTCCAACCAAAACAGAATTAAATTAAAAATCAATTGCAATGAGATTTTTAAGAAAATGCCAAATATTTAGGAATCAAACACATTTCTAAGCAACCCTTTGCTCAAAGAGGAAATTCATAAGTTAGTTTTCACTGGATAATGAAAATACAACCTACAAATTTGAAATAAGCAGCTAACACAGTGGATTTAGAAAAAGTATTACCTTGAGGTGCTAATTTTAAAGGAAAAAAATGTATGCAATTCACCCATAGAAGCAAGAAATAGAGGAGAGCAAAGACAATGAGAAATCTAAGAGTAGAAATAAATAAAACAGGAAACAAGCAATGCAAAAAATTAAGGAAACCAAAACCTGGTTTTTTGAAAAGATCATCAACATTTATAAACCAACAACTAGACTGATCAGGAAAAAAATAGAAAGAACACAAATCTCTAATATCAGGAAGGAAAGAAGGGCCATTCATATAGATTTACATTCGTGAAAGGAAAAGTGAGGGAATCTTATTAAGATTATTATGCTAATCAAATTCAATAACAGTTGAAATGGACAAGTTCATTGAAGACAAAGCTTTTGAAACTTAAGAATAAAAAAATCTGAAAACCTTATATCTTTAAAAAACTGAATTTGTTGATAAAAAGCCTTCTATCAAACTGGCTACACTGACGAATTTAAGCAAACATGTAAGGAAGAAGAAATAGTAATTTTACACACAAACCCTTTTAGAAAATCAAGGAGACAACACTTTCTAACTCATTTTATGAAAGTAAAATTAACCATAGATCAAAACCATATAAACACATTACAAATTAAAAAACAATGACCAGCAGCACTTACAAATGATACAAATTTTTTTCACAAAATATTAACAAATCAAATATTGCACTATGTAAGAAGTGAAGTATTAGGTATATAATTTCCACAGATACACTTTAACAGTTTGAGCAAGTTTTTTTCCCTAGAACTAACTGAACTTAGTAAAGTAAAAATATAAAATACTAATACTATTTCAAAACAACTATATTTTTCTATACTAGCACAAAAATTGAAAAATGAAAATTTTAAAATTTACAGTAATGCAAAAAATACCTAGTAAAAAAGGTAATAAAAGATGATAAGACCTGTACACTGAAAACTATAAAACATTGCAGAGTAAATTCAATAAATCCTGTATAATGGAAAGTCCCAATGTTATTAAGATGTCAATTCTCCTCAAGAACAGTCTCAATCAAAATGTGGTAGTCTTTTCTGTGGAAATTGCAAAGATGATTCTAAAATTTATATATAAATGGAAACCTAGAATAGCCAAATCTATTTGTTTAGAAAGAATAACAAAGAGAGAGAGAGAGAGAGAGAGAGAGAGAGAGAGAGAGAGAGAGAGATCTACTTAAGTTTAAGCTTCACTCTGAAGCTGCAATAATCAGAACAATCTGGCATTGGCTAAAAGATAATCACATTTATCAGTGAAATATAATGCATAATCCAGAAATACACACACACATATATACTTTATTAATTTTATCTCCTTGGTTAAATTTATCTATTAGTATTTTATTTTCTGTATCTATTAAAAATGAGATTTTTTAAAAATTTCCTTCTCAGATAGTTCACTGTTAGTGTGTAGAAAAGCTACTGCTTGTTAATGTTGATTTTGTATCCTGCAACTTTACTAAATTCATTTTTTAGTTCTAAGAGTTTTTGGTGGAGTCTTTGAGTTTTCCATATATAAGGTCATGTTGTCTGCAAACAGGAACAATTAGACTTCTTAATTTTCTCTCTGGATCCCTTTATTTCTTTCATTTCCCTAATTGCTCTGGCTAGAACTTTCAGCATTATGAGGAAATATTATTAACAACTTTATGCTTCCAGTACCATGTTGAATAGAAGTGGCAAGAATGGGCATCCTTGTCTTGTTTCTGATCTTAGACGTAAGACTTTCATTTTCCCCCACTAAGTGTGATGTCAGCTGTGAGTTTTTTATATATAACCATTAATGTATTGAGGTACCTTCCTTCTATACCTAATTTATTGAGAATTTTTATCATGAAAGGACGTTGAATTTTTTTAAGGCTTTTTTGCATCTGTAGAAATAATCATACGGTTTCTGTTCTTCATTCT